AATTTATATTCCTTTTTTATACTGTCTTTGAAATCTGGTATTTATTTTACACTTGGAACACTTCTGAGTTAGAACTAACCGCATTTTAAGTGTTGAGTAGCCACAAGTGGGTAGTGGTTTTTGCCATGTTGGACAGTGAATTGCTGTGATTCAAATAGAGCCCAAAGCTTTTGGTGCTTGAAAGCTGTGCAGGGTCCTGCCACCAGAGGTCAGCTGTCATTGTGGTGACACACCAAGAGAAAGTATTTTGTGTGTCTGAATTTGCTAATTGCAGCTGCTATGCAGAAATCATTCTGTGTACAATAAAGGAAACCTCTCTCAAGGTTGACAACATTTACTGCTGGTAAAATAGTTGGGGCACAAAGGTTGGTGCAGATGTGATCCTCAGCCTCTTCAGACACGCTCCCTGTTCTGTCCTTACAGATACACTCTTCATTCTTGCTTGTCTGGAAAACTTGAAGCTTTCCCCAATATTTTCAGTGGTGTTACGTTTGTAGTAAATACACTGTTTCTCTATAGCTGGGTCTTAAGAACTAGATAAACTTGTTTGCTTGCTTGCTTTTGCTAAGAATCTCAAGCAGGTAACATTTGATTACTGAGGCGCATATTAATTATATGGCTATATTCCTGGTTTTCTAAGTTTAAAGTCAGCTCACTGTAAAGGTCTAAACTTAGACTTGTGTCTCTCTTTTTCTCCACAGAGTAGAAGTGCCCTAGACTTTGTAAGAATCCATAGTAGAAAATGCCTTTTGGAGTGCCTTAGTTTCTTATACGTTGTAATTAGAGGGGCATTCTGATATGCTGTTAATATCCCTTATATAAAGAGCCAGTGGGGGAAGAAATTCTAGCCAAGAACAAAGATTTGGGGGAAAATTCTCCCATTCATTGCTTGATTCTTGATCATTATTTTCAGTTCTAGAGTTTGTTTTAATGTGTCTCCTCTATATGCCCACTGAATTTTTTTTTCATAAAACAGATAATTGGTAGCTCTATAGTTATCTCTACTAACTCTTAAGGTCAGGCTTGATGCATTCTGCATTCCATGACTTCATGACAATTTAACAGTGGCTTTTTATGGAGATTTTCTGCCGCAAGGTGGAGGTAGAGAGTTCTATAGGTCTGATTAGTATTTGTTAATAGCTGTCATAAAGTTAGCTTTAAGTTAACAAAATAAATGTTACTACTGTTATTAACACAACTTTCCCTTAATGTAGGCATGGTTTCTAATTTCTGCATAGTAATCTTTTACTTGGATTTATCAGCTGTTCAGAAATTAGTAGTGATTATTTTTATGAAGATTTAAATACTCTATGAATTTACTTTCAGATCCTTTTACTTCTGTTGCGTTACCTTGTTGTTTTTTTTTTTTTTTTAATTTAACCTGAGAACAACCACTTGGGAGAAGTGCATTTTTTTTTTTTTACTGGGCCAATGGGAACTGAGGAAAGAGGTATTGTCGAGAGTAAGTGTTTTGGGGGGTCTTGTAGGGAGTAGAAGATGAGAGACAGGCCTGGGTGAGGTGCAGTAGTGCCAGGTCCTCTATACAAGGGCCAGCATAGAGTTCTACAGCTAGGAGTTTTTCAAATTCTACTGTTAAAATATATATATATTCATGTTAGATAACAAATATAAGTAGGCCTGAGCAAAGTGAAAGGATGTACCCATTCTCTTTATTGAAAGTTAAAGTGTTTGCACACACGTAATAAAAAGTATAATCTGGAATAAAAAGGAATATTCTATTTTATTTTAGTGAAAACTCTTATAAGGTACCTTGGCATTAGTTTGCCCATATCAAGTGTTTATTAAATTTTTTTAATTGAATATAGTTGATGTGTAATATATAAATGACAGAAGTACAAGTATAGTGAATCACAATTTTTGAAGGTTATTTTCCATTTTTAGTGATTATAAAATATTTGCTGTATTCCTGTGATGCACAGTATGTCCTTGTAGCTTATTTTCTACGTAGTACTTTGTACCTCTCAACCTCCTACCCTTATATTACCCCTCCTCCTTACCTCTGCTCACTGATAACCACTAATTTGTTCTGTATATCTAAGAGTCTACTTCTTTTTTTTTTATATTCACTTGTTTGTTGTATTTTTTAGATTCCACATATAAATGATACAATACGGTATTTGTCTTTCTCTGTCTGACTTATTTCTCCTAGCATAGTGCCCTCCAAGTCCATCCATGTTGCTGCAAGTGGCAAAAGTTCATTCTTTTTTTATGGCTGAGTAGTAATTCCACTGTGTATAAGTATCATATCTTTTTTGTCCATTCATCTGTTTTTAGACACTTACATTGCTTCCAGATGTTGGCAGTTGTAAATAATGATGCTATGAACATTGGGGGTACGCATATCTTTTCAAATTAGTATTTTTGTTTTCCTGATATATACCCAGGAGTGGAATTGCTGGATCATATCAATTCTAGTTTTAGTTTTTTGAGGAACCTCTATAGTGTTTTCCATGGTGGCTGTACCAATTTACATTCCCACCAACAGTGTACAAAGATTCCCTTTTCCCCATATCCTCACCAACATTTGTTATTTGTGATCTTTTTGATGATAGCCATTCTGACAGGTGTGAGGGGATATATTATTGTGGTTTTGATTTGCATTCCCTGACAATTAGCTATGTTGAGCATCTTTTCATGTGCCTATTATCCATCTGTATGTCTTCTTTGGAAACATGTCTATTTATGTCTTATACCTATTTTTGAAATCAGGTTGTTTATTTTTTGATATTGAGTTATATAAGCTGTTTGTATATTTTGGATATTAACCCCTTATCAGCCATATCAATTGCAAATATTCTCTCTCATTCAGTAGATTGTTTTTTCATTTTGTTGATGGTTTACTTTCCTTTGCAAGAGCTTTTAAGTTTAACTAAGTTACATTTGTTTATTTTTGCTTTTGTTTCCTTTGCCTTAGGAGACAAATCCAAAAAAAAAATATTGCTACAGTTTATGTCAAAAAATATTATACGTATGTTTTCATCTAGGAGTGTTATAGTTTGTGGTCTTCCATTTAGGTCTTTAATACTTTTTGAGTTTATTTTTGCATATGCTTTTAGAAAGTTTTCTAATTTCATTCTTTTACATGTAGTTGTCCAGTTTTCCCATCACCACTTATTGAAGAGACTGTCTTCTCTATCATCTATTCTTGCCTCCTTTGTCATAGAGTAATTAACCATAAGTGTGTGGGTTTATTTCTGGACTCTATTCTGGTCCATTGATCTGTGTCTGTTTTTGTGCCAGTACCATATTGTTTTGATTACTGTAATTTTGTAGTAGAGTCTGAAGTCAGGGAGCATGATTCCTCCAGCTCTGTTTTTCTTTCTCAGGATTGTTTTGGCTATTTGAGGTCTTCCGTGTTTCCATACAAATTTTAAAATAACTTGTTCTAGTTCTGTGAAAAATGCCATTAGTATTTTGATTGGGATTTCATGAATCTGTAGATTGCCTTGGGTAATTTCAACAACACTAATTTTTCTGGTTGGGGGAGGATATAGCTTAGGGGTAGAGTGTGTGCTTAAATAATAAATAAATAAATAAACCTAACCCCCTCCCCAATAATAATAATTTTTAAAAAAAACACTAATTCTTCTAACCCAAGGACACAGTTTATCTTTCTATCTGTTTGTGTCATTTTCAGCTTCCTTCCTCAGTGTCTTATAGTTTTCCAAGTACAGGTCTTTTACCTCCTTAGGTAGGTTTATTCCTAGGTATTTTATTCTTTTCGATGCAAGCTTATATCAAGTATTAAAGAATGTCTTAGTAATCATAATAATCTTGTTTGTCAGAAATCGTTTTTAACAAATTTCAGTTTATGCTTATTGTATATGTAAAATTCAGCAGTGAAACAAACTAAATAGACTTCACTGAAGTTTTTATACAGATACATGTTCCATATATATATAAGTATTTAAGATTGAAGGACCTGGGGTAGATTTCCTTTGCTACTTTATTTGTAGACTGAATTTTCAAAAGCCCCATAGTTCTGTTTGTTTCTTTTCATTTCAAAGTGGGAAATGCTCGAGGTTATTATATGGGCTACTAGTAAAAAGTCCTGTTGCTGTTTGGGGCACGCCAAACTTAAGGACCATGTAGTTTAAAGACTTGTCCATAGGAGTAGATTTGGAAATTGGATTTAATTCCTGAGCTAAATTTCAAGAATACGGACAACAGTGAAATTCATTTTTAATTGATATGATGACACTGACTATACACATTTTCTTTGGTTTTCCATAAAAATACCATTTTAGTTTCCTTAGGAATTTATTGATTTGCTAGTAGTCCTGAGGAAGGTCCTTCCTTTGCTAATAGGGCTTTCAGTGGCTTGAAAGTGGAATGGTAGATGTTTCAGCAAAGGAAATTTGTGATGGTAGGGTGATGGTAATAAGTGGAGAACAGTTGTGAACCTCTGGTTTGGTGTGATATGTCTGCCATCATATATGCTCAGTTAGAAGGCAGTTCCCCATTTTCCCCACAAGAATATTCTAGCTCCAAATTCTTTTGCCAACTCAAATACGTAAGATTTTAGAGATAGATCTGATATATTAAAATCTGCATGTACTTAATTTGGTTACATAAACCATTGTATTAGATATAGAATTTAGAAATAAAGTTAATGTTTTGTTTTACTGTCTCATGATAAAATAATTTTGTTCAATCTCTTTGTATGTATTAGAATCCCTTTGGGATAATTTATCTTCCTGAGACAGGTGATAGCTGCTAGAAGTATGAGTGTCTTCATAAGTCTTGAATATGAGACTCCTTTTTCTTCTGAAAAATAATGTGATAACTGAACATTTGATAATTCTTTATATCCTTAATCCGTATGGATATTTAGAAGTATTTCTCAAATTTAAGAAGTCAGTTTTGAGTGAGCTTATTCGTGTTAAAAATCTTAAGTTTTTAGTTGTTAATATGGATTTTGTCTATTTTTTTTCTCTTTTATTTGAGGAGTCAGACATAATTGCCTTATTTCATTTCAGGGATTCTTCTAAAGTAAATATTCTGGTACCTGGTGCTGGACTAGGAAGACTGGCCTGGGAAATAGCTATGCTAGGTTATGCTTGTCAAGGAAATGAATGGAGTTTTTTTATGCTCTTTTCTTCCAACTTTGTACTCAACAGGTATTTGACTTACTTTTTGCTAGAAATAGTAATTTCTCAGAATCAGATTGACTTACCTATTTTTGAACAATTCTGAATTTGAAGATAACTACATACTGTTTAATTATGATGTATATCATAAGTATATCTTTTATTAAAATTAAATTGCTTATACAGTTACTACTTTAATCAGTTGCCTAGCCAACAGAACGTTGAATAGGATGGCTAAGCGACGTTTCAGAAAATGACTGGGGTACTCTATGAAACTGAAGTGATTTCTGTGCAGAATTTAGGGCTAAGTGTTTTCTCATTGTTCCTTAAACTTCTTTACCCCTTTGTTTCTTTAGCGGAATAAGATTTTAATGTAACAGTCATAACTTTTTGCTTAATCATATTCTCATAAAATGGTCAATTATGCTCACAAAACTGAGTTGGAAAGACCTCTCAGAACTTTTGTGGCCTCTTCTAGAAAGTAGGGTAAATGAGTTTTTAAAGCCAGAAGAGGTGAGTTAGAGAAAAAATAAATAGCTGCCTTGTTTAAATAATAAGTTGTCTCGACGGCAGTATAAGTTAGGGGATGATGAGAAGGAAAAAAAATAAAAGGAGTGTGTTGCACAGATTAATTAAAATAGTTGGGTGGCAAACAAAACCCATACTATTTTTTTTTCAAATTTTTTTAACTTGAGCTTGAATTTTGGCAATATAATTTAAAAAATTTGAATGAACATTTAAATCTCTGAATTTAATTTTGTCTTTTAATCCATGATTGGTTCTCATCTACATGTGGAGTTTCAGGTAATTGGGTGAAGTGTAGTGGTAACACTTTTTAAGTATTAATTATAAGTAAATCTTCAGTCAAACAGATTATATGTTAGTGTTTAAAGTAGATTTTCTTGGTAGAATATTTAGTTAACATTTATTTTATGCTCATATTTTGCAGATGCTCTGAAATTAATAAATATAAGCTTTATCCCTGGATCCATCAGTTTAGCAATAACCGAAGGTCAGCCGATCAGATTCGACCCATCTTTTTCCCTGATGTTGACCCCCACAGTCTTCCTCCTGGTTCTAACTTTTCTATGACAGCCGGAGATTTTCAGGAAATATATTCAGAATGCAGTAAGTCCAAAGCATTTTACAGGTCATATCCTTTATTCTAAATTTAGTGAGCCAGTTTTATAGTAAGTCAAAATGGTCATTTTTTTGATATATATATTTTTATTGAAGTATAGTCAATTTACAATGTTGTGTCAACTTCTGGTGTACAGCACGGTGCTTCAGTCATACATGGTCATTCATTTTGACAGAATATCAGGTATCCTTCAGTGACAATTCAGAATATTTTGAAGGTTACGTATAAGGCACTGACAAGAAATATAAAGAAGTATGAGATCCCACAATTAAGAAATTTAGAATCTGTTGGGTCCATTAATATTAAAAGACATATAAACAAAGTTTAAATGAGTAATGAATGCAGTAAAAGTTGGTTAGGTTAGTGTGAGAAACGAGCTCTTCTTGGAGAGGCTGCAGCTTGAAGGACAGGGAGGACTGGCATCCAGGCAGGCAGAGGTACAGAGCTGTGAATGGGTAAGGTAATCGGGCATGGTAGAACAGCCTGACTGGAAGGGATAGGGATATCTGAGGATTTAGTGGTAGATATGGCTAAAGAAGCGGCTTGGTTCCAGATTGTGGAGGGCCTTATAATTAGGCTATGAAGTTTGGACTTCAACCTGGCAAAATGTTGAAGAAGTTTTAGAGCTAAGCATTAGAGAAAGGGAGACGGTAATGAGGAAAGAGAAAGGGAGATGGTAATGAGGAAAGAGAAAAGAGGAATTGACAATAAAAGGAAGAAAAACAGAGGGCTGAAGGGTCAGCAAGGTCACTCATTTAACAAGTATTTGGTGACCACCTGCTAAGTAGCAGGTATGTTCCAGGCATTGCAAAGAGAGAAGTGAGCAGAACAGAGCCCCTGTACGCAGGGAACCCACATTCTAGTTGGGAGAGAGACACAATAATACATTACTATTGTGAGGAAGAAAAATAAGGCAGGGGAAAGGCGATAATGGGTGACTAGGGAGGGACTACTGTTATATAAAGAGCTACCAGGGAAGGCCTTTCTAAAAAGGGAACGTAAAAAGAAAAAATGAGCAGAGCACCTCGAAAAAATGAAGAGGCAAACCATTCAGAATGGCAAAGAAAGGAAGGTTGAGGGTGGAAGGAGGCTGCTTCTCAAAAAGAGCAAGAGGGTCATTTTGACTAGGGTGGTAAGCAGTGGGCGAGTGATGGGGGATTGGGTTGGAGAGGGTTTGGTGAGGCCGACTTTCAGGCTGTAGCAAAGACTGACTTGTACTCTGAGAGAAGTGGGAAGTCAGTGGAGAGACTGGAGCAGGAGAGTAACAAGAGAGTAAAGTTTTAATTTTTCCCTGATTGCTGACATTGGGAAAACCTGTTCTCTGAAGGTAGGAGGAGAAAGATGGAAAGTGTTAGGTATTAAGGATAAGTTAGGGAACAAGGTCTCAACATAGGAGTGAAACAATGGAAGACATCGCTTTGGCAAGTAAAAGTGACTTTCTTCTGGAGCAGGGTTTGAGAGAGGAGATGGTGAAGGTAATCCACGGTTGGATCAGGCGCCTCATCACACCAGCATTTGTACAGACACCCATCTTCAGGCCAGTCTGTCTCTGTGCCAGGCCACAGTGTTCTCTGCCCGGTCCCCCCTGCTGCTGCTGACTGCCCCGTCCCCCCTTCTGAACTGCCAGTTCTTCCAACTACTAGTGCGTGTTTATGTATTTTGATGCCACTTCTTTCTCAGTTAGCAGCAAGTGTATTCCAGAATTGATAGTTAACACTGGTTTAAATCACAATTTAAAGTTCAAATGACTATTATTTTATCTTAACTGATTTTAAATGAAGGCTGGAAGTTACATAGATTATAAACAAAAGTTATCAAAAATGATTTCCAAATTGATTACTTTATCAAATTGGTAATGAAAACTTTTATGAATTACAAAATATCTCGTAAATGATTATTTGGTTGCCTGGATTATAGTCGTAGTTGATTGGAAGAGTTTAGCTTCTATGCCCTGCAGTTAGGTGAAATATAGTCTGTAAAGAACTACCTGTTACATTTATATAATTAATTAAAAGAAAGGCAAAATAATAATAACAAGTGTAGTAATTTGATTTTCCTTGAATAGATACCTGGGACTGTATTGCTACCTGTTTCTTCATAGACACAGCTCACAATGTAATTGATTATATTGACACAATATGGAAAATACTCAAGCCAGGTGGAATTTGGATAAATTTAGGTAAGTTCCTCAATATTTATTAGAATTTACATGTTAATCTAAGTATGTATAACTGTTCTACATTTGGTAACTTCACAGTGCTAAATGTTCGCAAAAGTTACAGTTGTGTCATACATGTTTTAAAACCTCCGCAGTTTCCTTTAGATTGCGTCCTAGTTAGTGGTGCAGTTCCTGCAAAAGCAGCAGGACCCCCAGAAGTTGTGTATTCATACCAGGCTAGTCTCACAGCAGTCATAATTTCAAAGAGGTGCTCATTATTAATTGGATGATTATCATTCCTCATCTTTCCCACCCCCTACTCCATGGATACAGCAGTTCTGTTAAGCAGAGAGTGTTCTTTTTTTCTTTCTGTGGTGAAACTTTTGAAGGAAAGAACTTACCTCTCCCATGGAAACCTCCCCCCCAGTATCTATACATACTGGGAAAAGAATAGGTATGATAACTTACGACAGCCTTGGGTTTAAGAATAGAAATATAATTTCACTTATGCAAAAAACTTTTACTGCATCCTATTGCTAGGTGCTGGAAATCAAATGATGAGTGTGACATGGTCCTTCTCATCCAAGAGTTTAAGAGAAATTGCCAGTTTTATCTTCCTTTAAAATAAAGGGAGAATAATGATAGTATCAAGGTAAATACACTTGTCTTTTTTAGTGAGATATATAATCCATGTTAAGAAAGATTTTATATTACATAAAAGTTGGATAAACATTGTTTGAGTCCTTAGTCTTCAGTATTGGTGTAACTTTGTTGGTGGGTTCTGTTACTTTCTCTCTTTAATGATTTAACTTTACCAGAGATTTTGCCAGTAGGAGTAAGCCTACAGCTAGTAGTAGGTCTTTTCAAAACATCTCTTCAGAACTTCACAGGACAGATGAGAGCAGCTGTAAAATGTAATCATAATATGAAGTGAAGCAAATATCTCAAACCTTGGATCTTTATCAAATGAAAAATATTTCTTTTCCCACAATATGATTGAAAGATAACATTACCTACTGGGTATTTGCTCCCTGTGGACTAAGCATTATGTTAGCCATTTAAAATACCTTGTTTAGTCTCGCAACAACCCTATATTGAAATGGCATTAATACTGTTTTATAGTTGAAGAAACTGAGTGTTGGGTTACATAACCAGCAGAAAGGTTGAGGAGCGTATGTATGGCAGAGACAGGCTTCCAGCCCAGATCCAACCCCTTGAATGCCTAATCAGCTGCCTCTGCAGGCTCATGCTGGGTCAGTTTATAACTTACTCTGATTGTGTATTTATGTGATTTTTATTTTTTTTAATTTCACTTTTTTTGCTTTTTTGGGGGGATTTCTGGGGGGTAATTAGGTATTTATTTTTATTTATTTATTTTTTAACGGAGGTACTGGGGATGGAACCTAGGACCCCGTGCATGCTAAGCGTGCAGTCTACCACTGAGCTATGCCCTTCCCCGCCTTGATTAAAATTTTTGACCCCAGTTACTGAGTTATGGTAGGGTTTTGTGTACTTCTAAAGTATTTGATTTAATTTTCATAGAAATAACTTTTCTTTTTGAACATTTATTTTATTGGTTTATTAATGATTTATTAAATAATGTAATAACAATTATTATAACTGGAACAAATGAAATTGGCTTTTGGTAAGTATACTATTTGATAAGAGTAGATGTGCTGGAGTATGACCTGTGATCTGTTGTTGGCATCAGAATTAATGGAGCATATTTGTTAACAGGAGGTCAACTAGGAGAGCATCCACTCTTCTTACCATGAAGTTTCCAAATGATTTTGAGAAGTAGAATAACGAGAAACAATTCTTAAAAATAGATATTTAATAAAATCTCTTGCATGTAAAAGTTAAATTAAAAAATAATTATAATCTCAGAGTCAATTTTACCTTAAGTATCATGTATTCATTACTCCGTGTTACTCCTGCCCAGCCCTCTGACTTCTGCTCTTTGGGTACCCAGTCTGTATCTCTGGTCCAAATACCCACAACACTTCCCTACCCTGCTTATAAACCTTTTCCTGGGGTTTGAGTTCTACCTCTCCATTTTGCACAGATGCAAGACATGTTTCTTATCTTTAAGTGGGCATGTCAGTATAACCCCATGGTACATAATAATAATAATTTAATAATTGTATGTCATGTCTTTTTCTCTTAAGAATCCTTTCTGTATCCTTATGTTTTAGGTGTATGTCTTGTATGCAGCATACAGTTAAATTTTCTTTCATTATCCAATCTAATAGTCTCTATCTCTTAACTGGAACTTTTGGAAGCTTAAGGTTATAAATGATTTAAATCAATTTATCCCAGTTTTGGTAAATGGGATCCCCTTCAAGCTGACTCCTGTGTTCTCTTTTCTCTGTCATTGTTTGAGCACCTCCTTTCTGGCATAACCAAGTGTTCCAGGCTTATCTTACACTTTCTCTGCCCATCCCTAAGTTTAGCCATTTTTTCCACAGATCCCTGGCTCCTTTTAGTGGGGAGTAGTATGTGGAAGTGAAAATCTGGATTCTACCACTGTGATGGTATTGCTTCTAGGCCTTTTTAGCATACAGGGGTAGGGAGTAAGAGTTTATGTTTATAGATCATGAGTTTATACTGATACTTTTAGTTTCAAAGCAACACCAGATATAAAGTACAAGAGTACAAGGTTGGCAGATAGCTTTCAACACACAGAAGATACCATTCCAGTGGCTTGTAGCTTCTATTTTTGCTGTTGAGAATTCCACTATTTTAACTGTTGCTTCTTTGAGTAATCAGTTTTGTGTTTTAAGATTTTCACTATGCAGTTTTCCACTATGTAGGTTTTTATATCTAGGTGTGAGTTATTTTTTAAACCTGTGTACAGTATGTTGGGCTACCTGAGTCTCTAAAGTTTTTCATCAGTTCTGAAAAATCTCAGTTTAAAAGGGCTCCCCACTTGCTAATATGAGACCAGTGTAGCATCAAAATAAGTAATAATGTAATCAGATAAGGTAGAGGGTCCCTGGAGAAAGAGAACCAAGCATGGCTTTCTTGACAGAAGAGAAGCTATTTTCTGATCTAAGCCTGGCCACAATGCTTGCCCTTGAACAAACCTCAGTAATTAATGATTTTAAGGGATCTTAAAGAATACAGAATCAAGCAAGACAAGTAACAATAGCAAAGATAATACATCATTTGTCAAGTCTCCCAGTTGTTTCGGTGGTAAAGAGCAGCCTGAAGTGCTCAATCACCATATAAACTGGAACCTAAGGGATGATGGTGTTGATCCACTCTGACCCTTGTGACTTCGTCATCTAAAGCTTGGACTGTGTCTGCCACCTAAGCCCCTTT